GCGGGATGAGGGGCCCGGGCCCCCCGGCCGGGGAGCCCACGTAGTCTCTAACTCTCTCTCTTTTTAAAAATGTTTAATTTTATGTGCCAAACCTGGATTTGTGCCTAGCGCTCTGAAATAGAACCCCCAAACCTGCCAGCTTTGAGGGGCAGAGGGGGTTTCTCCACGAAGTAAAGGCAGGGGCTGGTGTCCTGGCTGCCCCCAGGCCTGGGGCAGCCTCCGCGTACCCCCTGGGCACCCAGCACCCCTTGGGGCCCTGAGGAGCGTGAGGCTGCAGTGGGCCGGCGTTCAGCAGTGCCTGCCAAGCGGGATAGTGAAAGTGCACTGCGTTAAAAAAAACCCAACCAGCAACACGCGTGATTTCCTGTGTTGCCACAGTAAACGAAGTGTTATTTGCTGCTGCACCACGAGCACGGTTCAGCGTTAGGAGTGAGGTTCTGGGTGACGGCCATTGCCTCTGCTCCCTCGGGAGTACAGCGGTGCAGCAGGATTTTACGAAGAAGTTGGCCGCGTTGCTCTTTGCAAACAAAACATTACTTGAAGACAGGCTGGAAGAAAATAGATCATTGGTCATTGTAAACCGTTTTATGTAACATTTGTAATATTGCATTAAATCAAATCCAGCCGTTAAACACAGCAAATAACTGCCACGCAACCAGTATTTGGCAGCAATAGTAACGGGAGAAGCCCTGAAGAAGCTGCATGGGATTTGTGACCCCAGTGTTTGCTATAATCCTCCGTTTATCCTGTGGTTTGAGCAGGGCTCAATATCAGTGCAACTGTAGCTACTCAGCATTTCCAGGTGCCTTCCCGACAGCAGGCGAGTCCCATTGCAATCGGCGCAAGGGAAGGAGGCCCCATGCACGTGCAAGCCGTACGCAAACCTGCGCCTCTGTAAAGCAAACCACGAATCATCTCTAAGCCAAAGCCTGTAAATAGGCTACAGCACAATAGAGTACAAGAGCCCTCGCAGAGGTTTTCTATTTTCTGTCGGCATTATTCTTCCTGCGCACGCTGCAATCTGTTGTGTAAAAGAATCTCCATTTTAAATAAGCCCATAATTACATACTTACCTGCACTGCTGGCTTCTCAGTGCTCGCACAAAAGCAGATGAACTAAACCTGGTTCTCTGGAGACCAGACCACACTCGATTCCTCTAAATCCACATTAGTGGAGGATTGCCACCCAGATGGTTTCCAACCAAGACAGCTCAGCTGGGAAGGGGGGATGTTTCTTGAATTTTGATGTAGTTAAGAGATCCAGTTTCTCAACAGTAACAGCCCTTAACATCTTGAATCATTATTATCAGGATTTTACTAGAAAAGTAGCCAACCTTCACAGCTTTTAAGAGCATCATATGAAATGTTATGGAGTACTGATGGGGCTAGCTGAATCCATACTTCCATTTAACACTTAATGGAAACATCGTTCTTCAAACAACACATGTAGTCAAATGGCTTTAAAATTAATAGGCCAGAGCAAGGATTTCATGGGGGAACGAGGCAGGACATTTTGTGAACTGTATTTTCAGCTTTTTTTTTTTGTTAACATGTGAAAAAGAATTAATTTATTGAAAATTGTGTATGTCAGATCACATATTTTACAGAGGATTAGGTAGAAGGGGCAGGAAAGGGAGAAGAAAAATGGGAAGTATGTGAAGGGCAGGGGATTCCCTTCCTGCAGTACAGTGCAGGGTACCAGAAAATGAAGGTCTGTAACTCAGGAGATGGCTGTTGTGACCTGTGCCGTTGTCATTCCTCTGTTTTCATTTTCATGCCCTTCACACCCCTGTTGTACCCTGCAGGGCCCAGATGCCCTCAGTGGATGGGCAGAACAAACTGAACCAACTGGCTTTACTGTGATGGCAGAAGTTTCTTAATGTTTGTCGAGACTTAGGCAGCACCACTGTCCTACATCCAGCTATTTACAATAGCTGAGGACATGCAAAACTGAACCTGGGTTAACACTGCATTTTCAGCCACATTTAACTCGTATTAGGCTAATGTGAGTGGAAGAAAACATCCCTGCCCATTTGGTCCCTCCGTGCAGGTCCTGCATGGCCTGTCCAGTGCTACCAGCCCCTCCGTCTCCCCTGCTGCCCAGCTGTGGGGCAAGCTCACCCCTCAGGGCTCACATCAGCAAAGATTATCTTGAGTATTTTATCAGGTGTTTCCAAGAAAATAGTATCTTAATGTCATGGTTTAACCCCAGCCAGCAACTAAGCACCACGCAGCCGCTCACTCACTCCCCCCACACCCAGTGGGATGGGGGAGAAAATCAGGAAAAGAAGTAAAACTCCTGGGTTGAGATAAGAACGATTTAATAGAACAGAAAAGAAGAAACTAATAATGATAATGATAACACTAATAAAATGACAACAGTAGTAATAAAAGGATTGAAATGTACAAATGATGCGCAGGGCAATTGCTCCCCACCCGCCGACCGACACCCAGCCAGTCCCTGAGCGGCAAATCCCTGCCCCCCACTTCCCAGTTCCTAAACTAGATGGGACGTCCCATGGTCTGGAATACACTGTTGGCCAGTTTGGGTCAGGTGCCCTGGCTGGGCATGAGAAGCTGAAAAATCCTTGACTGTAGTCTAAACACTACTGAGCAACAACCGAAAACATCAGTGTTATCAACATTCTTCACATACTGAACTCAAAATATAGCACTGTACCAGCTACTAGGAAGACAGCTAACTACATCCCAGCTGAAACCAGGACACTTAAATTCTCATCTGTCCCTGAAATTAGTTGTCAGTACATGGTAGTGGGCTTTGGAAGACCTGCTAAGGGAATTGGCTGAAATTACAGAGGGACGTGCAGTAGATTGAGCATGCAACGCTTTCTGCATCCATCTGGGGGGATGAAAGTTGTTTACTTGTTAGGAGCTTCAAGCAGTAGCAAGAACATGGACCTCCAACAACAATAGCTGCATTGTCAGAAACAGTAAATGTGACCTTTGCTCTGCTGGGACAAAGGATAAGCGCCGTCCTCCATGTCACCCTGCAGATCTCGGCTGTCGGCATTGCACCACAGCTTTTCTCTCTGGAGGCAGGACCCCTGCTGCCCCATCCCTGGCTTTCCTACGCTCTTCCTATCTTAACTATGGAAAACACACTTTATGCTCTAGTTTCCCTTTTTTTTTTTTTTTTAAATTGGAGCAATACATTTCTGCCTGCCTAAAATAGCATGTGGATACATTAATTAGTGTTTGTGTGATGCTAGTAATTATTGTGATGGGACTTGCACAGTGACACAGATTTATAGATGCATGTATTTCAGAGGAAAGGGAGAGTTTGGATTCTCACGACTGCAGAGTACCTGTAGCACAATGCAATAACATATCTTAGCTCCATAGAAAAGAATAAGATTGCAGCCACTAATGACAGTAATTAAAAATTTCTGTAAGAGCTGTCCAATCACCTCTTCATCTGAGCAAATTATAGTGTGTTATTGAAACGGTTAGTGCAACAAAATGAAGCTAAAAACATTTTACAGTAAAATAATCAGACATTGATTTATGATGTAAATTGTAAATCGGTAACCTATAACACACACTAATAGTTTTTCTCTCTCTTGAAAGGTGTGTTTCTGTAAAAGATCTGATGCAAGCATATGTATTTGTTCACATGTCACCCTCCGGTGGCTAACACTACTCTACAAGACATAATAAGGTGTATAATCAGGTAACCTGCTATTGATTGCAACCCAGAAAGGACACTTGTTCTTACACAGAAGCAGGAGGATGGCCACTTTTGGAGGTTTAATTATAGTCAGACCTCTACATGTTTGCTGCACATGAATTTTTATGAAGTACTTTTTAACGGTAAATACTTAGACATTGTGCTCTGATAGGTAGAGCCAGATTTTGTAAAATAAATGTAAATTTAAATATTTAGTATGTATAATCAGTTTATAGCCAAGACCAACTGTACCAGCTCCACAAAATACCTCCACAATGCAATTAGTATCTTTTTCCTTTTTTCCCTCTCCAAGGAAAAATAGATTTTCTCCTTTTAATTTAACAGGTTTGTATCTCCTTGTGCGTTGCTGTAAGTTCCTTATTAGTAAAGGCTGGGCTGAGATGCATCCTGCATGTTGAATTGAAGGTGGTCATGTCTGATCCTATTCGATACCATGTTTCTTTGACACAAACTGTCGAGACCATAAAAATGGGAAGAATAAGAGAAGGAAAACCAAAGGCATAAATAGAGCCCAAAGAGAGAAAAAGTGCAGTTGATAAATGCCTCTAGGAACCCATATTCATCAGCGCACTAAAAGAATGGCTGACACATGGTCAGTTTTGATAGAAATCTTAATGATTATTCCAAGTATACATCGTAGCAGATCATTCGGAGCCAGAGCATTGTGATGCACATTATGGGAGTGTAATTACAATGCTCATTTGAGTATCCTGTAGCCATTCCACAAAATGCATAGCAAAAAATGTTGATCAAAAGTAGCTGTTGTTGATATGCAGTAGCCACTTTTAAAAGCTCAAGATCCCAGCCCTTTCACTCTTGGGCTTTGATTTATATTTCCCTTTGAAAACACAAAATAGATTAAGTCACATGTCTCATAAAGAAATTGCTTACAAAATGTTCCGCAAATGCATAGCTGTGGGAAACAGGAGGCTATCAGAAAATAATAAAAAATGCTTACTGCAGTCTGGTTTTTTTGCTCTTTTATATAAGCTGTGCCGCTGCCTCTTTGTGAATGTTGATTTGCATTGCCTCCACCAGCCTTCAGCGAGATGTGGTTGCTGGGCAAGGATGGGAGTGGAGGGACAGGCGGTGGCTTAACCCCAGGGACCTCTCTCCTGGCAGCTCCCTCAGGAGGGAGGAATTGGGAGGACACCAGGTAGAAAGCCTCCTTCAGGGCTCGCTACTGCCTGCTGGGGGGTCCCCAGGGCACACCTCAAGGTTTCAGGGCCTTCTTGTGTTTTTTCACAGCATGAGGGAAATGCCCTCTCTCTGCTGCAGGGAACCCTCACCTTTCTTGCTAAGGCAGGAAAATAAATGTGTATGTTGAGTCCCAGGTATATTAAGCCACTTCATTCTACATAGCACAGTGTTCGTGTCTGTAGTCCGTCGCCACCTGCAAAACCGCCTCATGAAGTTTCTGGGAGGATGCACTGACCCTCGGGGCAGGTGGGCAGCAGGGGCATGAGCGGTGGGATGCGGCTGAGGGGAGCGTAGGTGGTGCTGGGGTGGGAGCTACAGAGAGGGGCCGCACGCTTTACCCCCAGCTCTTGGCCACCCAGGGCTGCCGCTGCCTTCCAGCGCCATTCCTCTGTCCTCCGAGATGTTAATCTCAGATGCCCTGTATTTACATGTACTCAAACATGATCTTGGCAGACCCTTATTAGTGTTATTGCCGTAATAGACTTCTCCTCCATAACCTCTAACTTTTTGCAACAAACTGGCTTGAACTCCTAAGCTTTGGCACTTCATTAGATAAGAAAATTATGTAAAAACCCTTCTATGGGGGATGCATATACAGAAAATAATTCTGTCAGATGTAATTTTCAGAGGTAGCACAGCTATTTGGTTCCATTTTAGTGACGTGAGATGTCAGGAGGTCTCTCAGTTTGGGGTTTTTCTACAATTACAAAAGCAACTGCCCATCTTTCCCAGCCTAAAGTAATAATAATAATAATAATTAGGTCAAAGTGCATTCTCTAGCACAATCAAAAAAATCAAGTGCTTATTCGTTGATGCATGGTCCAGTATTCTTGGCAGTAGATTTATAGGATGTCTTAAAATACTTGGATTTTGATCCTAAGCAGCATCAGCTGAGCTGGAGAGGAGGACAGTGGTAAGGGGTGCCCTGGCCAGGGGCTGTCACTCTGAGTGAGGAGGGAGAGGGGTTGCAGAGGGTCTGGGCAACTTCTGCTCCTTAAATCAGCTCAGCAAGCTGCCAGATCGTGGTCAGCGTATGGGGTTTTGGTGTGTGCCCAGGGAGGGTGGCGTTGCTGTCAGGCATGGCCAATTGCGAGAAAATAATCAGTGGGAGCAGGTTAGAAAGAGCAAAACTGCAGTAGCAAGTATTTTCTTTAAAAAGTAAACAATGTCCAAAACCACCCCTTGTTTCACACTGATGCCAGCGAGAAAGCAGGTTCTCACGGGGTGTTAGTTGAGCTGTGGCAGCACTGGGGGGGGAGGCGTGAATGGGCACTCTCTCCTCCCAGCTGAACAGGAACTGGGCTTGCTTTCTCCAGCATTTCACAGAAATAATCAACCAGCAGCAATGACACCCATGATCCCCAGCCCTGAAAACCACCGTTCCCAGGGGCATGGCAGTGTTTTGTCCGCTGGCATGGCATCATTGAGGTCCAAGTGTAGATGGGGAGACAGAGGGGCCACTGGCATCCCCCCTGCTGCAGGCAGGTCTCAGCAGAATCAGTGCAGCATGATCAGGTTCCATCCCACCCAGTCAGTATGACTAGATCCCCCCACAGCACAGAAGTACAGTGCAGTGGCAGCAGTCGGACAGGCTGAAACCCTGACAGCCATGTTCCCCAGTGAAAAGGGATCCAACAGCCACCCCATCTCCCCTCTCTGACTTTTTATTTTCCTGATGAGCCCAGTGCAGGCATAACATTTCGGTATGTGCTTTGAAATCAGTATGAGGCCAAAGCAACAACTAGAAATCCTGCAAGAGAGAGAGATTACAGCACTGCCCAAATCAAACACTGACCTGGGTGAAATTCCTGCCCGGGCCATAAGAAGCAACCACTGCAACTCCACTGCCCTGGGATAGATTGACAGTCTACTCATGTCACAAGGGGTTAGGGTGAGGAACAGCCTGGGGTTGTTTATGATTTCAGGGCCCCTTGGACTGTTCAGTGGGCTGTCACCTCTGCAACAATCATCCTTCTGTGAATTTGCAAAGGCTCTGCAGGAAAAGGAAAGGCTTGTGTGAGGGGTTGAGCTGGGAGACGGGTTACTTTGCTGTTTCATCCTTTCCCCAGCCAGGCAGAAGATGAGCAGCTACAAAAGCCCTCTGAGCAGCTCTCCCCCTTTCAGAAATGCCTTCGGCTCTGTCGAGCAAGCTGCACGTGGGCAGCCCCCTCGAGCCCTGGCTGCATGTGAACAAAAGCAGTCTGTGTTTGCAGGACTGGGCAATATTTTTGCTCCAGGGAGTCTCACATTCATGTGCTGCCTGCTATGCTTAGGAGCAGAGTTTCACAGGTGCTGGAACAGCCAGCTGGTTTGCAGCACAGCAGCATACGTGCCTCTGACCTGCAGGACACAAGGAATGTGCCCCGAGAGTGCCGTCGCTTGGCCCCTTCCCCATGCAGCACCACACCACACTGCTGGGCTAGCTGTCGGTCCCTCTGCAGAGCGGGTCCCCAGGACACTCGCCTCTTATGAGCAGTCCTGCTGACAGTAGCTGCAGGTACCCAAGCACTGCTGGGGAAATCTGTGTACTTAGGAAGCCAATATCCACCAGGGTCAGACCCAGTTCTGGGACACCTTGCTGAGCTAAAGAAGAATGATTGCTAACCTCAGTGTGAAGTGCCTGCTCTCCATCCTCCTGTTTTTCTTTTCTTTTTTTTTTAAAGACATCCTTAGGTATATGGGAAAGACAAAAAAAGAAGCTTAAAAAAATGGAACCACACATTTTGTTGGCAGAAAACCAAAAAAAGTCTCAGCATCATTTTTGTTCATGCCATGAGGACATCAGCTGTGGGCCGAAAGCCTGTAAAGTTTCAGAAAACCAAGGACCATAATGCTGAGGTTAACCTACTCTTCCTGTCTGAGCTGAGCATCACTTCTTCCCTTCCAACCCACCGGCAGGGTTAAGAACTAATGGCTGGAGGGAGACACTGCCGTTCACCTTGAAACCTTTCTCCCGATGTCTGGCACCCAGAGGGAGCAGGGCAACTCAAGAGCCAGAATAAAATGTTGCCGAACAAACAAACAGATTCTGTGTAAGCTCTGACTGTCACAGTCTCACACTTTAATTGAAAAAAAAAAATCTGATTTTGTAAACGTTCTCCCCATTGGATGCAAATATCCACTCACTTTGGACGCCCAGTTCTGAATTTGCCTTCGTGAGTTCGCCACTATTTTTCATCATCCATTCCAGCAGCCATCCTAGAGCTAGCTTCTTATAATTCAGAGCATTTTGAACTATGGAAAAGGAAAATGCAGGTACCTTTGGGGGATTAAGAAAACAGGAACATCAGCACATGGAGATACAAAGCCCAAGAGAAAGGAGAGCCACGAAAACAACAGGCAGCTCTACAGCAGTGATATTTTGTGCCACTTGCAAAGTCAGACACGGGGGGAGGGTGTAGCACTGCTGAGGATATGTGTATGAATGGAGGGCAGCGTGTCCAGCTCCTAGTGTGCAAATCTAGACCTACTGGTACTTAAATATGATTGGCTTTAACAGGCTTCTACAAAACCCCTAAGGTAACGCAGCATGGCTCCTTTCCAAAGCGCAGACATTTGCTGAAGTGTAGTTGCCCAAGACAGTCTGATTTTCCACATTGCTGTGCACGATCTTCTAGCTGCGTGTTGGTAAAACATGGAAATAAATTGCTTGGCTTCATAAAGTACTGGGGGGTGAAAATGTAAGCACATTTTGACTTATAATGAATTATTACCAAGATAGGGAGCAGCCACATTAAGAGTGATAAAAATGAGATGGAAAACTAGATCTTGCTGAGACTTTCGTTTTGGGGGTTTTTTTTTGGCAAGTTCACTCACTGTTGCTTTAACCAGCAATGCTGTTGCAGCAAAAGGATTTCTAATCAGTCACTATTGCATGATTGTTTAATTTTAATAGGTGTGATCAATACCATCCGCTCCTTCTTTAAATGCTAATGAACGCTTTAATACAACAGATGTGGACAGACAGTGCATTGCAGATTAAAATTAGGCACAGCATTAAATTGCTTACAAACAGCAGAGGAATCCTGCTGGACATCTTGACAATCAACCACAGGCAGCTGATAAATCTTGAATTGCCACCACCAGCCCACAGTGTCTGCTGAGTAGGGCCTTGTTTTCAGACTTGTACAACTACACCACCAACCTCATCACCTTGGAAGAGAAATGTAACTTTCCAAACTCTTGCAGTTTCTTTCTAGGATTTGTGCAGGCCCAACCGTGAAACAAGATCTCGCTTCCTGAGATTCATATCCAAATTTTAATAACACAAGCACATTTCCAGCAAGTGCTGTCAGGTGCGCTTACTATCAGCTGGTATCCTCCAGCCCATTTTGGTCATGGCAAGAAATGTTAGGGAAGGATCCCCAACCTAGACAAAATCCCAGTGTCCTGCTAAGTTGTGACAGAGAAACATCCAGTGGTGGATTGTCCGCATCCCCAAATTATTTGTCAGGTTCAGTAAACCAGGACCAGAAGCTGGGTTACTAGCTAGCTTTCAACCAGTTTGAAGCCACAAGAAAGTGGCAAGCTCTGTTATCACAGAGCTTCATGTGCAGCCCCATTCACTTTCAGGTAAAGCTTCTTACTATCTTTTCTGCTCTTAACTGTTGTCAGAGGAAACGGTGCTTAAATGACAGAGATCCAGTTCCCAACACTTGGTATCAGTTGTGTCCTGCTCCATTGGTTTTGGTGGACCCTGTCCTGAATTCATGAAATGTGTGTTCCAGTTCACTCTGGTAGGTATTGGGAAACCCACCATGGGGCTCAGCACTCATTGGGGCTGGTGGGAATCAGAGGGAGGAGAGCTGCGTGTACCCCCAGGAGTGGTCTTTGTGTGGAGCAGGGAATTTACATGTCCTTTTGAATGTCCAGTGACAGGACTATGGTGATGGGGGTCATCGAGGGGCTGACAAGCCAGCAGCTCGTCCACCATCGCTCACAACTGCGTGCCAGCAAGCACCGCTTGGCATGGATGGTATGTAGCACCTTGTTCAAAGGCATCTCTAATTTACAGTTTCTTGGCTTTCAGAGGGTATCATGCGTTGCTTTGGGTTCAGCTCCTTTTATCTGTTTCTTCTTTTTTTTTCCCCTCTTGCATCTTGGAAAACCCTAACTTTTTTTTTTTTTTTCCTTTTTAATTGTGTGAAATCAGCTTAGAGTGAAAAGGCCAAGAAGAAACTTTCTGACGACAAGCGAGTCTACAGCTATGTCTTTGTTCTTGGTGGAGCTAAAGACCACATTAATCAGAAACTTTGCTGACCTTGTCTTTAATACCTGAAGACTGAAAGACAAAAGCGACACAGTCTGGCCACATTTAAAAATTCAATTAAAAAATGCCTGCTGCTGAGGGATAAACATTATCATAGACCTCAGTGGGGTTAGATGTAACTATGATAAAGGGAACGCCTTTTTCTCCCTCTATTTTTATTTTTTCCCCCAAAAGAATAAAGCTTATTTTTTGTTTTTCCTTCTGACTACAACAACCGTGTATGTGACAGAGTGTGCTCAGTGGTGTCGGGTAGCTGGTGTTGGGGCTGTTAGTAAAGAGCGAGGTGAGAAATTCCTGAGAGGGGATGGCAAGCTGGAAGTGGAGAAGTGAAGCTACTGGAATGGACCTTGAGAAAAATCTCCCTGCATTCCTGTTTTTTCAGACTATGCTGGTTTGATAAAAATAGTACTTCTTCCTATAGCCCTGGCAGAAGCAGACTGAACAGGGGGTGAGGAGACCCCCTCAGAGCCGGACTTGGCATCTGGAGACATAAGCAAGGCAAGATGTAGCAGCAGCACAACTCCTTCCCTAAGGATGAAACGGAGAGCCTTTCGTTATGGCACCCAGCTGTGCCTTACTGATTTTATTGTTGAAATATTAAGCAAATCAGTGGCTATCCAGTCAGCTGAGAACATGAGCAGCCAAACGGAGGGGAGAAAATCAAATGAAGCCCCTCGGCACTGACCGTGACAGGAGGGGAGGTGGGCAGCTCTCCCCTTCCACGGGCAGGCCCTGGGCTGCGCCGGCCAGCGAGGGAGGTGGCGTCCCAGCTTCCGTGTGGTGAAGTAAATAGGAGCGGGCGTATCTTCTCTAGGTTGAACCGCTGGTCAGTCAAATAAAGGGGCAAATTCCTCCCTCAGAACGTCCTCCGGCCCCGCCAGCTCCCCTTGGGCCTCTCCTTCCCCGGCTTGCCAGCGGTCTGCCTGTGGGGCTTCTTTGCATGCTGCACCTTTATCCACCCCCCCTCGCTGACTCTGCTCTCTCCTTCGCCCCTCCTGGGCTCGCTCTCACCCTGTGGGGGCATGCCCGGGATGGCCTTGAGCTGGGGGGGGCTGCGGGGGTACCTGCGGTGCTGGGAGGCCGGGGGGGCCACTGGTGAGGAAGTCCTGCAGGCTCTTCCCGAGTGCCGGGGGGGCACCGGGGAGCTGGTCCCGCTGCACCGCCCGTCCGAGGAGCTGCGGGAGTTCCCGCTGTGCGAGGCGTTTCTGCCTTTGCCGGCAGACCTGTCCCTCTCCGAAGGGGTGTCGGAGGCCGTGCTGGAGGTGCTGCTGCCTTTCGAGTTCAGGTGCAGATTCGAGAGGTTTCTCACCAAACTGTGCGAGAGGGGAGAGGAGTTTCTGGAGTGGCTGATGGACGTGAACTGGTAACTGACGGGACCGCGTGTCCTCCTCACGGCAGCGGCGTAGGAGTCCTGGCTTCGAAGGTAGGGCAGGTAGTGGGTGACGGTGGTCGGGCTGTGGGGGTGGCCGTGCTGGAGAGAAATGGCTTTTGCTATTTGGTGCATCCGCAGCGTCTGCATCCACTGGCTGTCGATGCCTGGCAGGGAAATGGAAACACAGTCAGCTTTCTGTGAATTGATGGAAAACCACCCTCTGGTTTACCAAAGGTGTGAGGTTAGGCACCAGGGTTTGTCTTGGAAGAACCTCAACATATCTCAAACCACCCTTTCCCTCCCAGCCCGGCAGCAAATAGCCCTAGGTTTGATTATGTTCAACCTTATGGTTGAACATAATGTTGGACTTTTAAAATAGCAAATGATGCAAATATTTCTGATGCCAGTGCAGATTATGGAGCTTAGACTAGAAGACACTTACTGAACCATCCATTTGGCTGTTCAGGTGGGTTCCCACTCCCAAGGGCCTCCCAGTGGTCTTAACCCAACCTGGTTTTAAACATTTCCTGTGATGCTTCTGGCAGCCGCGGCAGATTTCTCCACAGCTTTCATTGCACAAGTGCCTGGAGACCTCCAGAGCAGGCATGGGGTGGGCACCCCAAGGTGCTGGCACCGCTGCAGCATCACCCTCCACCTGCGTCTCTCCCAGCCGGCACGGTCACGCTGTTCGCAGACGAACACAGAGACAGAGGTGGTGCAGACACCAGTGCAAATCCCTACTGTGGCAGCCAGACTCACCTCCTCTCGCTCCATTTTCTCTTCAAACCGCTACACTCCACAACAACCAGGGCCACTTCAGTTGTTACTGTTACTACAAATTCAGAAGTCAATCCACTTTGCATGCTCCAGATACTGAGTCTAAGCTCCAGCTACACCGCTCTGTCTGGTTTCATGCAGAAAATCAATTCTATATGTGGAAAAGCTGGTGAGGCAGAAGGCTTCAGCCAGGATAGCTCAGACAGTGCTTAACTGTGAGTGATTCGGGGTATTACAGTTCCCTCTCACCTACTGTCACAGCCCTGGGGTTGTAACAAAAGTTGTAGCTCCCAGAGATCAGACTGAAGCACTTCTGAAAGTCAGTCCTGTGGTTTGCATGAAAGCCTATAGCAAATACAATAGTTGTAAATTTTCCATTTGAACTGCGAGGGCTGCCTGGTTTGCTACTTTATGTGTAGAGCAGAGACCAGGAATTCTCCCCTTATCCAAGGCCACGGTTCTGGCCAAAAACCCATGGGGAGCAGCTTAAATAATTTTGCTCTAGAGAGATTTGAATGACTTGTCCTTAAAGATTGCTAGTATCATTCTAACAGGAAAGCATAACCCTGCAAGCTTGAAGCAGCATAAATGCGACCAAAATGTTATTCTCTTCAGCAGAGGACCCCAGCTCCTCTCTTGCCTTTTGCTGGTTTTCCAGAGAAAGACTCCCTATGCTGTGGGCCCTCTGCCTCTTGCTGCAATGCTGCATTGGCTGTGGGGAGTTTTATGGGAGCTGGGTAGCGGCTCTGTCCTCGTTAGGATTGCTGCTGTTAAGACGTAATGGATGGTCTCTTCCATTCCTCCTTTCCCCAGAGTTTGCTTGAATCCCAAGAGATTTTAATCATTTCAACTTAATGTCAAATATGTCAAAAGGAAACTGTCTTTCCTGTCAAAGTGCAAGCGTGACACCGCCACAGCAGATAGCTCTGGCTGCACTGAGAGATGAACCTCCTTTCACGGAAAGACAGATGGGAATTGCCTTCTCTGCTTCTTAACCTCCTTGAAAGTCACAGTTTCAAAAGAAACATGCATGCTGAAATGTACTTGCTAGACACCTTCTCCTCTGCCATTCCCCTGTGCCCTCCTACCAAGGCTGTGGATGTAAAACACAGACCTCATAAACTTGGAAGCAGCAGGCTCAGGACTTAAGTCTGGGTCTTCATTTGTTATCAGCTCTCAGGTGGCCACCACATGCCCTGTGGGACCAGTGCTGATGCTGTCCTGAATGAGGGGGTCCCTTCAGCAGCTTCAAGCTGTTCAGTCCCTGCTCCTTACAGCCAGCTGCAGTCGCTAGCCCAGGGACCAGCTGCCCAGCAGGGACCTCCCAGTGTGTCCTGTGGGGCTGCCTCTCACCTCTCGTGGGCTGGGAGGCTTCTCCCTCATATGGTCTCTGAGCCACCAACTCTGTACACTGAATTAAATGCTCTATGTGGCAGCCCACAGAGGTAGTACCTTCACTGCTGGTTATTTTAGCCTCTTAGGCAGGTATTACCCTTACCTTTGTGCTTGGATTTGGTGGTTTTAAACCTGGGATGGGTGGTCTGGTCAAGAAGACAGGCCAGAAAGTTTACTAGAACTGAGGGACAGCTTTTGTGCTGTCTGGTAACCCACCTCCTCTGAACTGTTCCTATTCACTTGGGTGCTGACCATACATCTGTGCCTTCATGTAACTCCTCCATGTGCCAAAGGGACAGACAAGCTCTCCCACCACTCACCGCAAAAAAATGAAAGCAGCTCTGTTTACTGTGGCAGAGCCAGCCTGTGAAGATACACCACTACACTTCGGTACGACTGTATGGCTCATCACCCCGAAACCAGGGTAATCTCCATCAGCAGAGCTTATCTGCAGTGAAGATGTATCTTTTAGAACATACTCTATGTCCCATCTGCATTACAAAACACAGTTGTGTTGCAAAAGGATCATAATTGCTTAGGAATAAGAGCACCCATTTTTGATGTGTCTGTAGTCTAAACCCAGCACCTCTCAATTCATGAGGCCATTCTACATTTGGCAGCAGTGTACAAAATCAGAATTCACTCTCTGCTGACTGGTACCTTGTTCCAGCTCCTGTGCTGCTCCTCAGCTGTCCCAACCCAAACATTTCTGCAGCCCTACTGTGAAATCAATGAGAAAAACAGCTGTGGCTAACAAACACCTTTACAAAAAGAACAGCAGATCTTAAAGGCAGAACTGTGCTAGAGTCAACTGAATTGAGTTTGACTATGTCAGTGGCATACTTTAGTTAGGAAATGAAGACTGCAGTGTAGAGCCCACTGTACTATTAAATGTATCTCACTGAAGAAGTCAAGCCCCAGAAGCCAGAACAAACACTGTTCCAGAAGTCAGATAACGATGAGCCAGGGCTCGCTCAAACAGGCAGGCTGAGCTGTGGAAGAAAAGTGCAGTGGGAAGATTTCCACTCTTCCTCACAGCAAAGCAGGACATCAGGAGGACCTATGGGGTCTGCCAGGTTGGCAGCATGTACCTATCAAAACAGTGTATTGCCCACAGGGGACTTTTGTGCCACCCCACATGCAGCTTCTGAGGCTACAGCCTTGGTGTGTGTGCCCCCCCTGCAAGAGCACTGGCCAGAGCAAGAGCAATCTGCACCCACACATCTCTTCCAGGAGGTGCCCTGTATCCAAGCACAACATCTGTGCAAAGCTGCCTGTGTGCTGTGTGGCCAAGAGCAGGAGGGAAGAGCTGGCCGAAGCACTCCTGCTGAGTTTGGGTTGCAGGGAGAGAAAGCCAGGATAAAAGCTGCTAAAAGCACTGGCTCCCAAGATCCTCAAAACAGCTGTGGAAAACTCCATTATTGCCTACAGATAGAGGGTAGACATCTGTGAGATTGTCTCCTTTCTAAGCAGATGTCTTGCTGACATCCTGGTTGAGAAACATATCTTCACCCCAGGCCCTGCACACTTTGTGTGGGTGCTATAATTCAGTCCAAATCCTCTTGCTATGCCAATACACTTGGCTCCACAAAGCTGAGCACTCTCTTGTCTTGGTGAAGAGGGGTGGATCTGGAGAAGGGCAGATTTGCCAGCTGATCCCCTGATCCAGCGTCCACAAGCAGACTCTGGAGAAGAGCACGCCTGCCACTGTGGAAAGGCTACTGTGGATGTGTACACATAAGCCAACAGAGAGGGGAAGAAGCCTGGACCATAGGCGGAAACACCTCTCCCAATGACCTACACTGGAGGGAATCAAAAGGTTGACCCAAAGCTGACCCAAGGAAGGGGTGGAAAAAGTGTCAGGATTTAAGGCTGCTTAGTACTGGAAGATGTGAAGCATTTGGGGTTTTGGAGCAGACGGATCTGAGCTCTATGTCTGCTGTTGATGTGCAGCTGCAAGCGACCACAGTAGACGAAAGATTTGTAGCTAATCGCCATTGACTGCTTCCAGCATGCTTCCAATAGGAGCATACAGGTCATCCCCCTTAAACTACATCATGATATAGAACGTTACTACCCAAAGTTTAGCCTTTAAGCTGTCAGACATGCCAGGGTGCTCCTGCATGCATCTACGGAGACATCACAGGGACCACAATGCCACCTGATGCTGCAAGGTGTGCTCTGTTGTTGGAACAGAATAATGGCATTGACTTTTTGCTGTTCTCCCCATATACGCCTTGCCCACGTCAGCGATAAAGTACTGACTTACTTGAGTCAGATCTGCTCCGTGAATTCCCCTCCGAGTTGGGGAGCGAGGTCTGTATCATGAGCTGTACTGTCTCGACCTCATCCTGCGCTTTCACCTTGCTCCAGCTGATAGCTTGGATGTGCCTGGTGCTTTTGGGAGCTCTAACGTCACTCTGCTCAGGAAGGACAAAACACGCATGAAGACGTAACGCATATAAGGACAAAACAACACACAACCCACTAAGCTCTCCTGTGAGGGAACTTCCACTAGTGCCTGGGCGGCAGCAGCATTTTCAATATAGAGTCTGTTTTGAAAAACCACTTAGCCAGTTCTCAAGTATTTTTAGACTCTAGATAATTTTGGCTGGTATTTTGTGATTATGCTAAAAATGTGGTAGTGAATAACTGTTTCAATTCATGTACCATGTGGTGGAAAGATCTGAAGGCCTTCCTCTACAACACAAAAATATATTTTACTAGTTCTATTAATGTGAGCGTCAAATGGGCAGTGCTTTCTGCTAAAGGAGGTAGGACTAAGCAGGTATTTTTGCAGGGGGACCCTCCACAAAACTTTCCTGGAGTATCAAGCTCTTCAATCTGCTGTTAAGGGCCTATGACTCCTGTGAGAAACTTCACGCTGAAAGAAAACTACTGTTCTTCACTTCTGAGACAGGCAAGCAAGGTCCAGGATTTCCCTGTCTCTCCATCACTGCTTGAATCCTTGCTCAGGACAGTGCTGCAATCTCAATTATTAGCCTCCTTGTGCACAGCATTGGTCTTTATAAAAACACTTTTGTAAGTAACTGCAAACTCTTTTTACAAAGGCTAATTTCTATCACATTAAATTGTCTTCCAGGTTTTATTTTGTCTTATTTTACTCTTGACTTCTCATTTTATTTCTTCTCCTGTTGCTACTCTGCTCTCCTAATTAGCACTTCATTGAAAAGGAAACAGTCTCTTCAAGTAATGCAAACAACACTGACCATTACACTTCAAGCAAAAGGAGTTTTTGTCCTTGAGAAAAAGAGCCATCCCAGGCAGCAGTCTGAGGATATTGTCTCTGTAAACCTCATTCAGGTTTTGCTCTGAACTTTAGATTTTACAATTAATTACAGGCTGCTGAGACTTGATTATAGGATATAACAAAGCCAGAGGATGCTGCTTCCACACCTCCCATGTGGGTTTTATCTTGGATAAACAATTTTTTAATTTGTTTCTTAGAGCTTACCTCATACGTAACAACACATTCTACAGACTGGTGTTCTTCTATCCCCACAATCCATTTCTCCATTACAAATGGTGGCTGAAAAAAACATGGTGGGAGTTTTATAAGGTGCTCTTCATCTCCTGACTTGTTTCTGAAACACCCCAAAGATATTTTCAACATTTGCCTTTTTTCATCTGCTCCCATACTGTTAACATCAATACTTTTCTTAAACTCTTATGAGATGAAGCAATATATTTTGGAATTATTTACTTCCTTGTTTTCAAAAGGAAACTGAGAAGAGATTTCTATAAATAACAAAATAACAGACAGTAGGTAAGACAACATCGAATGTTTTCATGGGGGCATAAACCTTTTTCATTTTTGTGCGTGTACAGTTTTTTTTCTGCTAGACTTACAGAGGCCAGCAAGAAGAAATATCTAGAGAGTCTCGGAGATATTCCCTGACAGATATAAAAATGTTGAAGTATGTGAAAAGTTAATGTTATTGTATCTAGTTATTAGTTTATTTAACGGTAAGCCTTTTTTTTTTTAAGGAAAAAATTAAAATATCCAAGATGAAAATTAAATAGAAAACTATTTTGCAACAAAATAATAATAACAGTCATTTTAAAAAATCATAAGTGTTGTTCCAGAAATCACTAACTATAAAAACAGTATAGCATGAATTAAACATGAGAATCCTTTTTGGCAATTAATCATATTTTCACATTTTTCCTTAAAATTCTGACTGTTGAGAATCTGATTTTCAGTTTTTCCTTTAGAAAAAATAACCAAAGGTTCCCCCAAAATTTTGCCCCAAAAATTCACGGTTAAAAGCATTCAGGAGCTTGGGAGGTTTTATCAGTGCACATTAGAGCAGCATTCTAATTGGTAATCAAGCCGTATATTTTTTCATTTAGGAATTTATTTTGTTAGCTATTATCAAGTGGAGCATATTAATAAAAACAAACAATTAAAATAACAGCAAACAGAATGCCCTCTGCATTAACAAAGCTTCTGTTTCTTACGGTAAAAGCAGTCTGAATGCTGGCTGGTAAATATTTACATGCAGGTTCTGAAATAAGGTGAAATTCCCAGTGACACTGAATTGCAGATGTTCAGTGCTGTACTGTCAGTTGATGGGTTTCAGTCTTTGCAACCCACCGTTGCATGAAAAAGGGAGTTTTAGAACCATGTAAAAGTTCTAAGACCATGTAAAAAAAAAAAAAAAAAAAAAAAGAGAAAAAAAAAAACCCCACCCCAAAAAAACCACAGAAATTTCAAACTGGAACATTTGAATCACCTTCTTCTCTTGAAAAGGAAAGTAATTTTTGAACATTCTTTTCTTTAAAAGGGGTAATAAATTCAGAGGATATAAGATGGAATTAAAACAAGAAAATATAAATTAGTTCCTTCTCTTATTTTTCTATTGTTAACATTATTGTCAGCTTAAAAGAGAACCAAAATACCTAACTCCTATTATGATACAAATCTGTTTAAAATGTGCATTTTATTTAAAAGCTGTCAAGAGATTGAGCTTCTGCAAGCACAAAAGTCGACTGCTGTGGTATTTTAATGTCTTTGTTTGAGATCTGTGAATTCGTGAAAGCTTTAAGGCTGTAAATACCTTTGTCATCTTTAAAATCTCTACATCAGGTAGGTTAGTGTTGAATGTCACATCTTTTATGTAGGTTATTGCAATTTCATCCCCGTCCATCTCCATGTACATTTTCCATTTACAATCCTATGAATAATAAAAAAAGAATACTGGATTGTTAGAATACAAATAAAAAAAAACCAAAATGAAACAAAACTGAAAGCCAAAACAACCCAAAACCTAATCCTCAATATATGGGGCAAAAAAATAACCCAACAAGAAAGGTAAGGAATATACATATATTTTAGGATATGCACATTTTCCAGTAAAAGTGTTGATAACGGCAAACCCTCGGGTTCTCTCCTTCACTCTCCTCTTAGGTCACCCTGAGAGACAGTCACCATGCTGACAGGTCTAGATGCCTTCAGAGGTGTGGATCCCCACCTGAACGGACAGCCTGTTTGAGTGGGCAGTGCGGGAGCTCTGCATGCCCGCATGGTGGTGGAGGCACAGGGCAGCGGTGGGAGCTGTCACTCAGGGTCACAGCCAGCTCCAAGGACATCTTCCCGGTGAACCCGGGAACAAATAACCAGAGGTTCTGTGAAACACTGTTAAGACAGTCGCTCAAATAATGGGCAAGAGGATGAGCTGGTTATTACAGCTCACATTTCAGATACTGAGTGCCCAGCGAGGCACTGAGCTCAGCTTAGAAATTAATCATATAGTCAGTCTAATAAACCAAAGCAATGAAAGGTATCCTTAAATAATCCCATGAGCCGAACACGGGGCCAACATCCAACACTTTGCACAGGAGTGAGCCTGCAGAAGCTGACAGCTCTGGCAGCATCGTGCGGAACATCCCACGCGGGCTAAGCGCTGGGACCAGGGTTTGTGCCTGTGGCCAGGGAGGCTCCCACTGGGGACCGGAGACTGCCTGTCCATGGTGCAAACCAGCCAACATCTGCTGGTGTGCCCAGTAGGTGCTTTGGGGATTAGATACTATCCGGTGCACTGAGCTCCTCCAAAAGTCAGTCCCCTGAGGGCTAACAGGGCTGCAGTGAAGCAGAGTGTCTCCATCTCTGTGCAGGCAGGAGATCTGCCCTTCACAGAGACAGCGGGTCCTCCAGACATGCCAGGGGTTCAGGAGGGTCTGTGCCTGCCGCACGCCGCCGGCTGGGCAGGTGCGGTCTCAGTGTTTGCAGGAGGCAGTCTTCTCCCCAGTTCTGCTCAGAAAATGCAAAAACTTTCAATGGGGACACAGATGGCCGCTTAGGGCCAAGGGCTTGCGTAAGCAGTTATTTGCACACACAAACGTACAGCAGCCTAAAAAGTATCCGTTCGCACATGCGATTATCTGCTAGTGTTTGCACGTGCATCTCTCATAAATGTAACATAGGAGCTCAGCCCTCAGAAGTCTCAAAGCTTTCAATCAGGCATTGAATTGGCAGTTCCAAGATAAAAGAAAACTGGAGTATAATCATTTCCGAACCGCAACAACAAATTATGCTTATGAAAGCATTTGGCCCTGTGTGTCCATCTGTCCCCATTGAAAGCTTCTGTGTTTTACGAGCAGAGTGGACGTGTGAGTTGGTTTTCGCATCAGCCCTGTGCGAGTTTGCGCGATGGGAACTGCGGTCCAGTGGTCAGAGCACCGGACTGAGACTCGGAGGTGCCAAGTGGTTTCCAGTTCTGCCATCGGCTTCCTGCGCAACCTGATAAGGCGCCGAAGTCGCCCTGTGCCTCTGTTTCCTGATCATGGACCGTATCATTTCGCATGTCCTTTTTCTGTCCTGCTTTTTTGGGTTGTGAGCTAACTCAGGGTTACGCCTGTCACTTCCCACGTAGGTACAGCACGATGCCCTGGCCCTGACATCGGCTGAGGACTGTACGTGCTATGTAACTGAACAGCAACAGCGAAGCGAGTTGTCTCTGACTCCTGCTCACCTCTCAAACTGTGCTCCTCTCCCTGCCCCACTGTCCTTGTTGCCAGACTTTTTTGCAGGACTTCCTAAATTCATGCTACCTGGATTCCCTATTGCAGATTGAACCCAAGGTTAGAGACAAGATGCTTGATGACATTTACAAGTTTTACAAAAACACCTGAGCCAAGGAAAGAACAAAACATTGACGTAAAATACTATCCTCCAGTTATAATTCAGTGCCTCTCCTGCCGTGAGACCAGTGTCAAGCATCCGAGAGCCAGGGCCGCACCTTGTGCCCGGGCTCCTGTGTCTTCACGACTCAGGATTTTGTGCTGTTCACTCACGTCTCCCTACAGAACAGATATGACAAACGTGAGCTTGTTTTAATAAACAGCATAAATCAAATGACCATCTCTAAAGAACAGGCTGACAAGCTGTGTAAATCCAGGGTCTGGCAGGCGGTGGGCACCTGCCAGCGCCCAGCCCCTCACCGGATCCGCCGCGCACGCAGGAGCCCTCTCCGTGCGGTAACGAATCAGGCTGCCCCACGCAGCTGTGGATGCACGAGCCCTGCACAAACACCGCCTTCCCCGGCTCCGAACTGCAGCTTCAGAGAAAGAAAAACACTCTCCCGTCCTTCAAATCCAGCCCCCAAACCTTCGGTCCTCCTTGGAGTCCTCTCCAGCCACACCACGCAGACACCAAAAGGGCAAATTACCACACTAACCATACCCTCTCTGGTCACTCAAAAATCCGCGTCTTGTTTTATTTGGAAAGGTTTTAATTGTAAAATCATCAGTGGAAAGGGGAGAGAGAGACAGGGGAATAAAGAGAGGAGAGAAAGGGAAAAAGAGGCTGGGAGAAAAAGAGAAAAGATAGAAAAGACAGAGAGAAGGAAGGAAAAGGAAGGAGAAAAGACAGCAGCTAGGTGACTTTTGAGTCAAGGCACTTGGCAAATATCTAAGATAAGTAGGTGGCTACTTGTCTTACAAACTTGGTAACCATTTTGTTCAACCACGCAGTAAATAATGTGAGATTTGTGTGCTGCAGAAAGGGACATATTTTCCTGTTTTCCAATCAAGTTCTAGTTTCTTTTTTAGTGATGAATAGGAGAGAGATGCTCAGCCCCTTAAGCAAAAATTTGGCTAGAATAATGAAGTATACGTATTTCAATTCTTTGATGAATCAGAGCCATAAGATTTCTTGGATCAAGACGACATTTAGTGCCAGACGTATGTGGGAAAATAATTTGGAAATGGCTTGCTTAGAATGTCTGGTTGATAAATATACTTACACAAGTCCTTCAAAGAGATTCCCCTGGACATCTTGTAATTCAAGCACTAAAATACCTCCCAATATTTACCTGCTCGATTTTGATTTAAATAAAGAATTTCAGCTTTTTGTTTTAAAAAAAACCTAGTTTCAGAACTGGGAGGCACAACCAGCAAAACTTTGTGTGAAAAACATTTCCAAATAACACTTGGACAAAGCCAATAAATCAGCAGCCTCTGCAAATGATTGTAGAAAAGCAAAGCAAATCCCACATGTATTTTGAGCCACTTATCCTCAGCTTCGAAATAGAAAATGAGAACACTTTAAAAATTAAGTCTCCAGCTTACTGTGGTGACAACACTCCTTTAACCCCGTATGTGCTAACATCTGCAACAAAAAACAAAAGGGAAATGAAAAAGATCAGGCACAGGCTTTAAACAACAAACATGTCTCCTGCAACAACAGCTTAAAACTCTTGCTGGGGAGACACCTAATTTTTCAAGGAGGCCCAAATCCAGGATTCATTTTAAAATCAGTGGTTGCAATAAACTTTTCTTTCTTTTAAGATTGAAGAAAAAATGGAAACAGCATTGTAGCAGGCAACTGGATATTAGAAGAAAAGTAAGATGTAACGCAAGATGAAACAAGTATGAAAAAAATGTTGGTCATGCTGGTACTAAAAGTAGTAGCATGTTGATGATTTAGGTCCCCAGAAGCTCCTTTACATTCTTAGCTATTATCTATCTCAGCTGCTGAAACCTGCTGTTTTAAAGGCATTAGAGTTGAACATCTAGTGACAGCACTTGGGTTATTTATCATTATGTATCACCCTGCTACACTATATTTTATTATTCCGGATTTAAAGGAAGATAACACAATTATGGTTAATTTGCTTCTCTTCTTTATATATATAGTGTCATGACCCACCACGGCTTTGTCCCATGAGATATTTTTAACCAAAAAGAAATCCACAAGAAACTCTCCCTAAAAATTCCATTAATAACCTCTTGTAGCGTGTATAGGTTGCAGGGTCTGGAACTAAGAATGTTTTAATCTCTTCAGCAAAACAATGTCTCATAATGATGTACAGGACTATTGCTGCACTGATGAAGAATCATACATAATTCAGCACCTTTCACTTGGCACCACTGTGATATCCTCATTAGCAGTGGCTCACAGTGGCTGTCAGATGGTGTCCATGCGAATGCAGGCATTATATTGTCTTTGAGATGTGCAGCTGCTTCCATGACACTGCCAGTATATAAAAACATGACGCCAGTTTGTTTTATTTAGTGCTAAACCTTCCAGTTTGTAAAAACAAGGCTGACACAGAGCCTGACATGAGGCAGTGAAAATAATTAGCTCTCATTTTCTCAGCCTCCTATTTCCTTCTCCCCGCTGTGTTCTCTTTCCACTAAACCACCACATGTCAGTCGAAATGGGAGGCAATTAGTGGGCTCATTTCAGTCCCCACAACTGTGCTGAAAAGAAAGTATTTATGATGGCACAATGAACAGCTGAAAGATTAAATAACATTTGCCTTTTGAAAAGAAAATGACTTCTAGCTAAATGGGCAATTTTTGATTATTCTCAAACAAGCTTAGAGTAGTTGGTTTTTAAAATACAAGAAAGGAAAATGAGTCATTTTTAGGTGAAAGAATCAAATAAAACTTGACACAGTAATGCAAATAACTGATGTTTTATTGCAAAATATGTAAATGTGTTATACCCTTAACAATGGCTGGTGTCTCAGGTCAGGGCAGGCTGTTGCCAGCCAGGCTCCAGCGAGAGAAGGTGGCTCCACCGCCGGTTTTGTTTCAGCTGTGCAGGCAGAAAAAAACAGGGGCGGAGGGGAGGCCTTCTGAGAGAGATGGTCTTAAAACGTACAGAAACAAAGCAAGAGAAAGAAATATTTATGTTATCAGTTGCCTGGGTGCCTCCTCTGAAAGCCAG